TGAATTAAAACTGAAATTCAGTGGGAATGAGGAGAGTGCTGCTGCTGTCTCCCACAGGATGCGATGGCTCATTACATGCCAGCCAAAGTCTGTGGCACTCAGGTTATAAATCTGCGTAAGTGCAGATGCCTGTCTGACCCTACAGAGCTTCTCTGCAAGGAGGATTTTAGGGTTTCAAAAATTATTTTTTTTTCTATATAACTTAGATGGCAAAGCTAGCAAGCTGGAGGTTTCTGTCCCAGGAACAGGAAGGAGAAGATGAACTCCATGGGGCTCCAAAGTTCTCCTCCTCCTCCCACCTGCTCCTGTACCCCAGCTGGCTGCACTGCCCAGCAGCCCAGTTCACACAATGAGTCTACTTTCCCTGGTGCAAGCAGGGAAAGGGAATTAAAGGCTCCAGGGCTCTGAAGTTCTCTGCAGGTCCTGCTATCAGCCAATCCCAAGGCTAGGAGGCAAAGCGGCACACTCAAGGCAGTGAACGTACAATTACAGTCACTTGAAAACTCAACCTGTAGCGAACATATACTGTCTATTACTATCCATATGTTTAGATACAGTCTTCACAGCGAGGACAAGCACTCATATTCTGCTGCAGCTTATGTTTGCTAGCCCAGGAATTGCTAACTGCCTGTAACCACCTGCACAATGTCCTTCCTCAGGAGCAGGAGGGAGAACTGGCCATATTTAAAGACAGCAGCTTTCACCTCCTCAGTTGGCAAGTTTCATTAACAAAGTCTGAGAAGCATGATAGCAAAACCACACTTTGCTGAAGAGTTGTACAGGCTGAAACAAGAACCACTTCCCATTGCCTATGCATGAAATTTAAGTCATTAATGAAGGATGTGGAAAGCTGCATTTTTGAAGAACAGCAACTAAAGGACCATAACAGAAATCACTGTCCTTGCTTTCAACAAGGCAGGAAGCTGGGATTCAGAGTGTTCCTCCACATCTTATCCCTTGCAATATATTAGCATGTTCAGTTGCAGAGGACAGAAATTCCTTCCTAGTCACACAGCAGTTACCAGTTTTCTTGGCCACCAAATGTAGCAACCTACTTACTATTGAGAGGTAATACACCCATACTGCAGAAGTAGCTAATTTCTAAATAAACATAATAAAACCACACAATAAAACCACTAATAGTGCTTTTCAGTATAATTCAAGCTTTTATCAACTGTGTTGACCTCAAGAAGGATGCCAGCTCCCTTTCAGTTCTGTGCTTCTGCAAATTTGTGGCCACATCTAGTTATCCTAGAATTGCAAAATTATTATCTTCCTTTTTTATCTATGTAGAAGTAGCCAAAGACCAAAATCAACAACTGCCAGAAGTTCCAAGTTCACCCAAGGAAACTGGATCAACTTAGCACACATAGGAAAGAATAAATAATAATCAACTGGTGATGGTGAAATAAGGCAACTAACTCCTTTCAATTCTGTCCAATTAATCCTTGCCAGACTTAGGAGCCTGTAATCAAGCATCGATCCAATCTGGCCAGATTTTGTTTCAAAGTCTTGGCAAAACCGCTGTAGCAAACAGGATAATAAAATCTTCTCCCAACACAGACTTTAGCATTGAACCTGCAGTTACACATCTCTCATCTTTTTCACTTTCTCTTTTGGGTGTTATTTCTCTCCACTCATTTTCACAAAAAACTCATTTTAGGTTGGTTCATACTGTTATTCACTGAGAACAACAGCTTGAGCTAAGCTGAACTTCTGAGATAATTAACAGTATGAGCAGAACTTACGGATGATGACACAGCTGTGTAACTAATTTCCTTCCTTATCTATAGGAAAATAATTTATTCCCAAGTGCCATAAAATAACAATTGAAAAATCATATTGATTTCATCAGGCTTTGAATTAGGTTCATAAAGGAGACCAAAGCAGGTGCTTCATCTACCTACAGCTGACAGCACGATTTCTCAGGGTGTTCCCACCTTCTTCTCCTAGATAAATCACAGTGCCTTTGTCAGGAGTTTGGTACAGCGGCATCATCTCCAAACCTGTTGGAGCGTACAAGGGCTCAGGGGCAGTGGGTATCCAATCTGAAAAAGAAGAGATACACAGAAGAAGTACAAGCAGGAAGATTGTATTAGAGTATGTATAATATGAAGGACACATTGAAAAGCGGTTCATCCTATTTACTCCAGTTGCACATAAATGAATAGGGAAGCCCCTTTTGAACCTCATTTTTTGGATCTGTGAACAAATCTTCACTACAACTCCAAACAAAAATACATATCAATCTGCACGGACTAATTTTTGCTGTTTAAACACACCTCTTTTCCCTATACAGCTTGCTTACCATTAGTGAGGATGACAATGGTGAACATTAGACAGCATTGGTACCATTAAGAAAACAAATGCTCCAACTACAGAGGGAAGTCATTGATCCAGTTCCAGCCACTGGCACAGGCTGCCCAGGGAGGCTGTGGAGTCTCCTTCTCTGGAGATTTTCAAAACCCGCCTGGATCCAGTCCTGAGTAATGTGCTCTAGGCACTCCTGCTTTAGCAGGGGGGTTGGACTAGATGACCTCTAGAGGTCCCTTCCAACTCTGAAAATTCTGTGATTGCTGACCACACAGGCGCTCCATGGTTATAATGCAGTGTCTCCATGTAAATCGCGTGACATCTGCCTGGCATGTCAAAGACCTCTTGAACACCAGTTCATTCTGACAGTAGGCCTTTCCTTACTGTAATACTCACAGCAGTCCTATCCCATTCTATTCGAGATACTGGGATCTATTTTCAAAGGTAACAGAATAAGGGCATAGATGTCTCAGTCCCACCTCTGTGCATTTCTGATTTCTACTGATTACTTCCAAATTGCAATTGGTTGTATCTATGAAGGACAGAGACTGTTAGTCTTCACTATCTCTAATAGGTTGGCAGTATGACTTTTGTACAGACAGCATAAAAGCAGTTATTAGCTGACATTCATATTTAACCATATAGCCCTGAAATACAGTACTGACATTGCTAGTAACAGGACATGAGATTTGTACTGAATTTGCAAGACCTCAGGACTGAGGCTTGTCAGGTTTGCTGTCTGAACTTTTCTTCATCTGCCTGCAGCTTTGTTTCACCTAATTTAGCTGTGACGGCAATGTCTCTAATTGACCAGGTATGTACCATTAATTTGTTTTATTTTTGTTTATCTTTGTGTGGTACAACCATAAGCTTATACGGACAGCAGTAACAAGGAGTTGTTCTGTGTAGAAATGCAGACCTAGACCTGGACAAAACTCATTTTAGGGGTCACAAAGAGAAGAAGGAAATAATATCTAACACATGTAAATTCAGATGTAACATGGAGCTGCAGACCGACAAAGGAAGAGAAAGGTGTAAGAGTGAGCTAGCAAAGATATGAAAATGACCCCAGAGTTATCTGTATCCTAGAGTGGGGAAGAAGAAATCACCAGTACAAACATCGTATTTCTCCCAGCAAAGGACTCCAGAGGCTGACAGTTTGCAACAAATGTCTCCCCTCCACCAGAATGAAGCCTCTGCAATGAAACCACTGACCTTAGGACCTAGAGGAGCAGTGGAAGGGGAAGCCAGGAAAAGGATGTGAATGAAGCATATGTATAACAAATGTAACTGCATTATTATTTTTTCTTTTTCTGTAGCAATTACATCTGGACTAATAATTATTTGTCTCTTAAGATTTCACTTATACTAACAATAAATTCTTGGCTTTATTTATATATAAGGTGTGCTTCCTCTTTGCCCATACACAAGATTTTAAGCATAACACAGTAACTTACCAATGTGCTCAATTCTGTCCCTGACGACTTCACATTGCTGTGGCCAGTACACCAGGGAAAACTGACTGGCTGGTGACAAGTCATCAAGATTCTGAGGCTCCTGAGGGTGGGGTATGACTGTCTGCGAGTCAGATGATAATAGAATCTGTTTTGCCCTTGGAAAAAGATGAGCACAAACGGAATCTATAAGAAAGTGAAAGAACCCTCACATGAGTCTCTCTTGCTCTTCCAAGTGGAAACAGGCTGCAGAGATTATCTATATGAAATCAACATAAGTAAGCATGGCACAATAAAATTACATCCCACTGAAATGTAAGTTTAATGCTCCATCCTATAAATCACACTGAATTTAAAAGAGCATTGAATGAACAGTTAATTCATTAAACCACAAAGCACATCAAGTATTCAAATGCAGCAGAGAATAGCTTATTTGGGTTCCTATAGAAAATGTTGGCATCTTTTGTTATTACTGCTTTTATTACTAGTGTGTTATGGCAGGGCTTACAATCTCAATGTCTGAGTCAAAATCTGTGCTGTGCAATACTATACAAATAACAAACAAAGCTTCTTCCCACAAAACTTATCACACCGAGTGTATGCAAGAATGAGATAGTACTGGCTAGCATGACAGAAGAGGTAACAATCTGATGCCATCACGAATTTTGTAAAGCAACAGAGACATTTGGAGGGGGTGTGTGGGTCATCAAGGAATTCTTCAAAGTTATGAGAAGCCACCTGAATGGAAACATGACAGGCAGAGAAAAGACTTTGAAAAAATCTAGTAATTGGATGATTGAGACTGCTGGTACTGTGCACTGACCACAACGCTGCCCTGAGAAAATTACTTGTTTTTGTCATAGATATGAAAAGATCCCCTTTCAAAGCATTCCCTGTCCTTTGTACTATCGGCTTAGAGCAGGTCAAAAGATAGGAGTTCGGTTTCATGGGAAATTAATTTTTTGTATGTGCTTTGGATCTCAATCAGATACCAGCACCTGTAAGAGTTCCAGAAAAAAAAATGCCTAATTAACTTTAGACCTGGTTTCTAGATCTACTTCGCCTCACAATAATGTAACATAATAAGCAAAAGCGCTTCACCTGAAGTATGTTTCGAGTGTAGATGACATCATATGTGAAAAGTAAAAGAATGAAAGTAAACCTGCTTAAACCACGTTTAACCTCTAGTGGATACCTAACTCTAAGGGATACCTGGCTACTATAATGCCAAATCAGTAATTGGTGATCAAGGGCATGCTGCAAAACGGGACTGAGATAACTACTCACCTAGGTCAAGAACCACAAAATGTCACTAGATCTAACTCCAGTTTTGTCTAGAGCTTGACAGTTGTGTGAACACTAACACCTTTCTCCTTCCCCTTATTTTTCCACCCTGTGGTCTTGCAGGGAGGATCCAGGGGAATAATTGAAAGGGTCCTAACCTGTAAGAACAGCACTCTGCTGACTGGCTTCTGTCACAAATGAGTTAGGAGGGTCTTCATCCTAAAAAAAATTAAAATTAAAATACTAAAATAAAATCAAAAGTCCACAATAGGACAGTTTGCTTTTCTTTATTTTCAGAGAGAAGAGCTGCCTCTGTTTTGGTTTACTTTATGGCCTGAGTAAGAATTAGGCCAAATCTACATGGTCCTGTACTCTTGTCATTATTCCTGGCTGCGGCTCAAAGGAGACATGCTTTCACTTGCCCTCTTTTGCTCCCCCAGTGCCTCTCTTCTGCAGTTCTAGTATTCCTACTGTTGTGTGAAAAGCTAGAGTGGAAAACTGATATAAGAAAAAAATGTTTGGCTTTCAGCTGCATTAATTAGCCCTCCGATCCCACTCATCAAACAAGCCTACTGACGTAAGAGCAGGAGAGGCAATGAAAAACAACAGCTAGGACAGCCCTTCTGGTGGCAGCCCAGATATACGCCACAATTACCCGAAAGCAATAAGGACTAGGATAAGGAGGTGAGGAACTTGATGCTGCAGAAATGAGGCAAAAAATAGAAAAGCACCACTCTGCAGCCAAAGCATACACGGGCCACAAAAAGCAACCAACTACCCTGGGTTAAATTGGAAGCACACTGGCAAGGCAGCAGAGAGACAACAGTGCCTGTCCCCTTCACTGTCCTTAACATAAAAGATTTCCTGGGTTTTCAATCTTGTCCCCTTTCATTAACATCACATTCAATTAAACCCCGAATTTCCTTCCTGAAATATGAAAAAATGTTGGTAAGATCAAACACATTTCACAGCTGGTAAAAATACTCCCAGCTTTATTTACTGCTCCTATTTACATTCACCACATTTGCAAATATAATACCGGGCTTCTAAAAACCCGCTAGTCCAGCAGCTGATCAGGAGCTTGATTATTACAGGTCGAGAACTGAAAAAAAAACCAAACCCAACAGTTCACAAACCAAAACACAGATAAAATCCGAAAGCAGAAGAGGTAGAGGACTTGACTTTGCTCACTAACCAAGAGCCGTGCCGCTCTCCACAGCGCGGGTAGCGCCAGGGATGAGCTCTCAGGACAGGGATTTGGGTAGCGCCATATGCAGCCAAGTCCCAAATTTTACTTTATTACGCTTAATTTCAGCGCGCCCTGCGTTGCGTTTCGGGTGCCTGCACAAACGGTTTGTCACCGGGGCCGCTCACGGATTTTCTTTACAGCATAAGGAGCAACCGCTTCTAATGAATTACAGCCCATCTCCCCCACGACGTGCGACCGCCTCAAACGAGGCGCAGGCGCTGAGGGGGACTTACTGAGCTGCCTTCCTCCCCGGCGCGGGGGCTCTCCCCGTCCCGGGCGGCGGGACAGGGCATCATCCCGGCCGGGCGGCGGTACCGCCGTGATCCCGACCATCCGAGGGGGC